TCATCCATGTCTTCTAGAACCAGCCGTTCGTAATGACTTTGAGCTGATTCCCCTTTGCCTACTGGGTTCGTGGTGACATGACCCAGCCACAGCTTTCTAGCTGTATCACAGTCAGTAGAGTTGACTATCATGGGCCACACATCCTTGATATAATCCTCATTACTCTCTTCTGGTCTTTTCTCTCTCACCAACATTTTCAGTTTTTTGTACTCACGATAACTGTCAGCATCTGAGCTAGGGGTTTGACATTGATTCACTCGTTCAGGCTCGGGAGCCAACTGGTATGCGTGAGATAACTGATGCATCTCGATCTGGAATGGCTCATCCTCCTCGTCGGCCGATATCTCATCTTTGAGTTTCTTTTCTGTTTCCTGAGCATATTTGTAGGCCATTTTCTTCATTCTCCTCAACATTACATCGTGTGCTATTCCCAAATAAGCTGATCTAAACTTATTGGTCATGGGCTGACAAACTGCTAAGGTTGGGAAGGAAGGCATCATTAAAACATTAGCCCATTCTCCTAAGGTGGCTTTAACAGTCAGTTCCACTGTTTCTTCCAACCTGTCTCCCACACTGACGGAATGTCATAATGATTTTGTCTGGCTTCGGGTATGTAGGTCCGACGCCCATCACTTGCTTGCACCGGTCCCCATGTCAAATCTCTAGCTGCATTTTCTGAAACTTTATACACATATCGAACATTTCTACCGTTTTCTTTTGACCCTTTCTTTGCCCCATTCTCAGTGGCTTATAGATGGCTCCTGTCTGACCGGCCACGGATTCTAAGCTGGCACTGCCCTCATCTTCCGTGTCTTCTTCATCTTGTTCTGCCCCTTTTCCTCTTTGTGAGGCTTCACTGTCACTTTGCTCACTGTCTCTGTTTAACGGTTCCATCTTTGCTGAGGCTTTCCATGATGGTCTTTCCTGTTGTTGTCTATGACCATTCTTTCCCTTTTTTGTGATGGAATCATTCAACCACTTCCTCATGGGTGTGGTTATTGATGATGTTGGGTTTTGGGAGTCATCCCATAAAGGGTCTCGGTCTTTCCCTGTATCCGGTGATGTTGGCAGTTTCTCTCCATTTTCTTTTTCTCTTTTTGGGTCACTTTTGGACTGTTTCTTCTCTGCCATAGTGGCCAAAAGCCTAGTTCCTCTGTCTTCGTACAGTTTTTTTGAGGTCACTACAACTAACTCTTTTAGTACCACTTCAGGAGGCATTGCTTTTGCCAAATAGGTTGCAGTATTGATTGCCACTCTTTCTGCTGCCTCCCATTGTAGATTGCGTGATCTTAATCCATCTATGTACATCACTTCCCACCTAAAACTGCAGGCTATGGCTTTGCTTATCCCTTTCCTAAGGGCTATTAACATTTGTTCATTCAACCTTTATTTAAGCAGGTAAATCCCATTGAGCCTCGAGGACTCATTTACAAGAGAGACCTGATTTCTTTCATATATCCATCTAGGCTTTCTGCTTCCTTGTAGCTCTTAATTGGGACATGTATTATGGCATGATATGGGAGGTCTGCTCTGCTGGTTAGGTTTATCTTTGGCCCTTCGTCCTTTAGTTCTGCTTTAAGCTGTCTTAAGTCGAACTGGTATTTGGGTCCAGCCAACTTCTTTAAAGCTTTCCTAAAGGTGCAGTTGTGGATCTTGTAGGTGTCGTTGGTGAATATGAGCAACCCATCCGCTTCTAATGTCCAGGGGCTCCCTATCAGCTGATACACTTGGGTTCCATTTTGAAATTTTATGACCTGGGCCTCCTCAGGCACTGGGTTGAGGTCTTTTTTCTTCTCGCCCCAACCAGAGCCAAGTTCAGACTTTGTTTCTATATTGTTCTTTTTAGTTTTCTTCTTCCTTGGGGTGTTTCTGGGTTCTTCTTTTGAACTTTCACCAGGTCTTTGTGTTGGCTTGGCTGATTTTGGGGTTTTTCATACAGAGTCTGCACTTTTGATCTTTGCAGTTGCCCTGTGCCCTGGCCATTACCTTTGATTATTAGGGTTTTTATTCTTTCCACCAGCCTTTGAGCCAACTCCTCCATTTGCTGTTCTGTTTCAGCGCTCTCCAATTCATCATCAGACTCTAACTCATCATCTGATTTTTGTTTTCCTCTTTCCTCCAGCTAGTTCCTTATTCCATTCGGGCCTCCTGCTTGGACCCAAGCTGAGGGGCCTACGTGTGATGCTGGGGGGTACTGCTGTTGGCTTTGTTCGTCATTGTCTGGAGCGCCCCCTTTTTCTGCCTGTTCTATTCTTGTCATGTCTTTGTCTGACAGGCCTTCCCCTGCGTCTTTGTTCGTGACTTATTCTTCTGTCTCGTTATTCTCATCCTCCCAGATGCTATGCTGACTGCAGATGTTCTTTAGGCCTTTGTTTGCTTCTTTATATGCCCCCATCCTTTTTAACTTATCTTCATATATTGTATATCTTGCAACTGCTGTTGCTTTGGAGTTTACTAACGCTCTGTCCAGGCCCGTTGCCTTGGATATCATTTTTACTATGGGGTCATAGCTAGTCGATGGACTAATAACAGTGGTTAGGGTTCCTCCATACCATTCTCCAAGCCACTGCACCCACCATGCTAACCACCTTTTTACTCCTTCTTTGGCTTTTATGTTGGTCGGATCGTGCAGAACCACCATCCGGCGGCCCTGCACCACTTTGGTACAGTGGAAGATTGCATTTCTTTGTATGTACTCTGTTAGCCTCGGCACCAAGAGCTCATATTTTATTAGATTACTCTCTCTAAATCTTTCTTGCACTGACGTGTCCCAATGTGTGAATCCCTTGCCATATAGGAGGATCTCAACCAACGCCCCTGTTGTTGGGTTGGATTCTTTATCTTCCGGATTTTGTGCTAGGTCCTGCAGAGCCTCTGATTCTGCAGATTTCAACTCTTCTTCCATTGTTTTTGTTTTTTGTCATCTCGAGTGTCTGCTCCTCAAAGCCTCCTGGCTGTGCCCACCTGGTCAGGGATGATCACAGACTATGCTACTAACTTGCTGCTTGGATAATGGTCAGTAATCCTCAGTAAGCCCCCTACCCCACCCACTAGCCTAGTGGTTACTGCGGGATACGTGGCTGAGGGCCCACTCAGCCACCTGCAACCTCTTCTAAGTACTTTGGGTTGCTTTGGATCGACGCCCAGTCTGATTCTTCAGCCACATGTCTCGTTTTGACGCTCTGTCAGGGTTTTCCTGATGCACGTCTACTCTTTTAAGGGCTCCTTATCTAAGGAATGTCGAGCCCACCCAGGGACACCATGTTTTTCTACCCAGTGAAGTTACCACGAGTTATGGCTAATCCCCACTGCAGCCTCTCCTCTAAGGGGTATATCAGACTAATCTAACACTTGGACTTTACCCAGAGTGATGTTAGACTAGTTCTGTTTAAGGCTGTGTTGGAGGTGATTCACCCAGACTGTTCACGACCATCATTTGCGAGTCATACCCTTGTCTCACCTTGTGACTCGTTTAACCTAGTAGCCGGGGTTAAATAGTTGATCACGGGAAAACTGGCATTTTGGCCGCTCACCTATTGTAGAACTGCAATTGTTACAGATCTGGTAGTTTTTAGAATCTAGGCACAAGATTCCAGGGTGTTTTTCGATCCAAGCTACTGTTGTGTCTTTCTGCCACACTCGTGTTCAAAACAGCTGAGACGGT